CTCTTGACAGTACTCATATAATAGTAAATGGTCATATTAATTCAATAACGCGACGATAATTTAAAGCTAATACGCACATACTATTATTTGTTGCAGTATAACGTTCTAGATCAAATTGAAAGAACATCCTAGAATAATTTTATTAGTGATCGTTACTAAATAAAGTGCGATCATCGATATCCAAATTTGGTATATTCCTAGACTGTAATAGCATTCCAACATACTAGTAAGGTGCTGACTATAGGCATCTATATTGCTAGCATTGTTAGTAGTTAGTAATAAAACTTTGCTTTCTAAACCAAAGTCTTCAATTATTTTAAAAATTGTATTAGCCAAGAAACTATTCAAATGCCTTTTATGAAGGAAAATAAAATCAAGAAGTATATATTGTAGCTGTTATTCATCATCAATCTAGTGCAGAGTAATAGAAAGAAATGCTTAGTTGGTAGATGAAGATCATGTATCAATCATCATTGAAACTTTATATTTAAAATTTTTTAAAAAAACATATAATTGTTTACATTTATGTTTATATATATGCTAAATATAAACTGAAATCATTTGTCTTGAAAGAAGTTTGTAACGCAGATCGAGTTCAAAAATGAATACTCAAAAGTCTTTATTTTTGACAATACAAAATGGCTATTGATTATACACAAACCATCAGACTAGGAGTCCATTTAGTTTCTTTACCTTTTGTTCATCACAAGGACTATAATATTCTATAGCTGGAGGTGACAAATTTTGATATTTCTGATTTCAGGTTTATAGTTGTTTTTGAAATACCATTTAATTATACTAATACTAGTTTTATTTTTATACTTAGTACTGCACAGGTTATATTTGATATTTTTTTTTATCTGAGGTTTGAAAAAAATAACTCCAAAGGGAATGCATACCTTTAATTTGTTTAGAAAAAACTTGTTTATCTGGTTTTTTTGTACTAGTTTCATTATCATTGCTGTCATTTTGCTCATTTAAAAAATCTCTATCCAGATAAGAAATTACATTATAAGTAGATATAACACTTTGTAAGGGTTCAAGGTTTTCAGTAGACAAAATTTTGTAAAGGTTCAAGGTTTTCAGTAAACATAGAATTTTGTAAAGATTCAAGATTTTCAGTAGACATGGCACGGCTAACAGAAACTTGTGAAGGTAAGGTTTCATTAAATACTTTTATACTATGATTTCGACAAAAGATACATCGTCGACAAGAAAATATTTACAAACAAAAAAGGTATTGGTAAACAAAAGGAACAATTGTCACTAAATTTATATGATTAAACAGAAGCCATATGTTTGCCCAATTTTAAACACAGTTTTTGTTTTTTTTTTTTTCTTCTTTTCTTTAACGGGATGCCCTCAGGCACTTGATTTTTGGATAACAAATGAAATGTTTATATTCATTTTTTTGTGCTTTAATTTTTATAATGATAACGGCATTCAATATTATTTTTTATAATAAATGAATGTTTTAGTTCATCCCTTCACTTTAATTTCTATCACTGTTGTAAATTTGAGGATAATTATTAAAGAGGATTTGAGGCTAACATCTTTATAGCCTGGTAGTTATATTACGATCATATTAGAAAAAAAATTGAGAAAAAAACATTGGCAATTGCAAGGCACTTGCTAATTTTGATTTAACATTTACCAATCAGAGTATCTAATAAATTATTAATCACCAAAATATATTTATTAATCACCAAAATATATTTATTCATCACCAAAAATAGTAAACTTTATTAGCGAAATGCTTTCTTGAGTTACGTTAACTTAAAGGAAGTATCATCCTGATGTACAATTTATATTTATTAATCGCCAAAATTAGTAAATTTTTTTTTTTTTTTTAATGTTAAGGTGATCACTTTGGGGTCTGGCACGTTTTAT